AGGGACACTTCACACTAAACCATGTCACCCAAGGCTCTGTCCAACCTGGCCTTGAAAACTGCCAGGGATGGAGCATTCACAACTTCCCTGGGCAGCCCATTCCAGTGCCTCACCAGCCTCACAGTAAAGAACTTCCTCCTTATATCTAATCTAAACTTCCCTTGTTTAAGTTTTAACCCATTACCCCTTGTTCTATCACTACAGTCCCTAATGAAGAGTCCCTTCCCAGCATTCTTATAGGTCCCATTCAGATACTGGAAGGCTGCTATGAGGTCTCCACGCAGCCTTCTCTTCTCCAGGCTGAACAGCTCCAACTTTCTCAGCCTGGCTTCAGATGGGAGGTGCTCCAGTCTCCTGATCATCCTCGTGGCCCTTCTCTGGACTTGTTCCAACAGTTCCATGTCCTTTTTATGTTGAGGACACCAGAACTGCACATAACGTTCCAAATGAGGTCTCACAAGAGCAGAGTAGAGAGGCAGGATCACTTCCTTCGACCTGCTGGTCATGCTCCTTTTAATGCAGCCCAGGATATGGTTGGCTTTCTGGGCTGCAAGCGCACACTGCCGGCAGTAAGTTTCTCATTGACTAACATCCCCAGGTCCTTCTACTCAGGGCTGCTCTGAATCTCTTCCTTCCCCAACCTGTAGCTGTGCCTGGGATTGCTGTGACCCAGGTGTAGTACCTTGCACTTGTCATGGTTAAACTTCGTTAGAGATAGGCATCAGCCCACTTCACAAGTGTGTCAAGGTCCCCCTGGATGGCATTCCTTCCCTCCAGCTTATCAATCGAACCACACAGCTTGGTGTCATCGGCAAACTTGCTGAGGCTGCATCAATCCCACTGTCCGTGTCACTGACAAAGATGTTGAACAAGACTGCCCCCTAACACTGACCCCTGAGGGACACCACTCATTACTGGTCTCCAGCTGGATACTGAGCCATTGAGCACAACTCTTTGTGTGCAGCCATCCAGCCAGTTCATGGGATCCCATCATGATCTGTCAGGCATGAGTATGTGATGTCTTGTTTTCTATGCTTGTTTTTCAGGAGTGTAGCTGCATGGTAGTTAATGTGTGATGTGATTGAAGTTGCAAGTTGGAAGATTCCAGAGTTAAAATAACTTAACTTGAATTTGTCTCTTCTTTAAATTCTTACAGTAGGATGTGACCATGTATTTAAAGATAAAGGTGAGAAAGAATTCATCTCAGTGAATTAAATATACTTTTAATTTTGAAAACTGGTGTTTACAATCACTTTGGAATGCTGAAGCGCACAATATACCTTATCCTGTCTAAATTCTAACCTGGAAACAGAATTATTGTCTTTTGCACTTTTAGATTTTTTTTTTTTTCTTTTTTCTGCCATATAGTGCTGGAATGCTTCACTATTGTGCTTAATTTCGTCTTCAAACGTAATTATGGTGTTAGATGGAATGTCATGCCATCCTTGCTTTGTTTTCTAACTTTCAGATGGCTTCAACTTTACAGTTTCTTTGGCCTAGCTTTAAGCTGATCTACACCTTTCAGTTGTTCTGCTATAACAGTCGAGTGCTGATGGTACAATGCTTAATGTAGAAAATTGAAGCATCCATTACGTAGTATTAGCTAGTACAGCATTAGCTTTGTGTCAGCTGCGGACAGCATAGCCCGTTTCAGTGTGTGGGGGGTGGTGTCGGAGAAGTGAAAAAAATTTACTGGAATGCTGCTTAATCATCAGTAACCTCCTTTGTGTGCTCTGTAGGAATTAAGCTTTAATGCTGTCATTATTAGATTTGTAAAAAGATATTCATTGTGTTATACCATGCCTTTCTGAAAACTAACATTCAACTGTACTCTGAAGTGATGATTATGTGATCCTGTGAGAAGAATGCGTGCACAAAAATATGAACCATGTAAGTTCATTTGCTTGTGTGGAGTCCTAAATTGAAGTTGGTGGGATTTTGTGTTGAAAGCCTATAATGAAGTGTGATTTGTGGATTACGGCCAAACTTTTCTTCTAGGTTCATGAGAAAATATGAATATGTATGTACTGAACAGAAAATAGCAGTCTTCAGTTGTTAATACGTTTATAGAGATGAAGAGGTTGCTCAGGGATCTTAGTTGTTACTTTGTTAGTTTGGTCTGTCATTTGGGGAAGAATTGTATTGAGGTAGGGTGACCTGAGTGCTGTACATGTCGTAATGATGTGACAGTATTTTCACCAGAACTAGCAGCTGGGTTATGGAGAAGGCTGCATTACTGTTGGTTAGGTAGTAGTCATTTGAGTGACAAAATTAAATGTACAGATCAGATGCTAAAGTTTGGATATTGATAGCTCTCAAATTTCTTCATGTGACTTTAAACTTGGCACAAGGAAAAATTACAGTACCTTGACTAAAATGGGCTTTTTAAACAAGTTTCAATAAAGATAAGATGCATCTTGGTTAGTTTTTATAGTGGGAGAGTTTTTTAAATGTGTCAATAAAGGTGTTCTGTTCGATGTTGTGTAGTAAAGAAGGATTATACGTGGTCATATCATTGCTGATGAACTTTCTCTAGGGAAATAGCTATATATGTGCAAATTTGAAAGTTTATTCTAGAATCTTGAACTAATTATGGACATTGAAAATAATTATGGCAGTTGATGCTGTAGAAGAGAAATGTAATTTTGGATTTTTTTAATATATACAGAACTTGACAGGAAAACCTGACTTTTTAGAAGGTTTGCTTCTGTAAATTTTCATTCATGAATAAATCATTTGGACTTACCTTTTCAATTATGCTGCTTCTTTGTGTGAACTCTCATTCATGTGTGTGTGTGGACTGAGGCTTGTGTATGTAGAATTTCATTCAATGCATGAAACTTAATGTTGTATGGGGAGAATTTTTCAAATCTGTAAAAGTGAACAAATAGATTTTTTTAAAACACTGATCATTTTCAGGAATGCTGATAATCTCATTTGTATGCCCAAATTCATTAATTCTGTTCTTTTGCTTTGCAAAACTGTTCTGTTAATCTAAAATGGGTTAATATTATAGAAGGCTTGAGGGGTGAGAAAATCCTATGTATGAAAGTGGTAGGAGCCTGGGTGATTTTTTCTTAAATGCATTGTGCTTAAACCAGAGGTGTTTCTTTACCATCTTTCCTTTTGTTTCATGAATCTTTTCTTTTCCTCCCTTTTCTTGTGCTACTGTATGCTTTTTCTAAAACTAGAGAAAAATGTTAGTATACTGATACTAGCAGTGGTGTGGGATCTTGTAGTTAATGTGACTGATACTTAGGGGAGCAGTTACAGTTGCATGTTTCATTTAACTTTGTCACTTCTGGACAGTGGGATATTTTATTTAGCACATTTAATGTTGTCCTAATAGTTTTATTTCAAAGTAAATCTGGAACATGAAAGAGGAATGAAATAGCTACTAAGTTTTTATTTTAAAGGTGACTTGCACATTAGAATGTTAATGTCAGAATATATAAACTTGCACATAATTACAGTGGTGGTGCTGCTGCAGGCTCAATCATTTCAGAGTTGTATTAATAAGGTGCTTAAATGAGTTAATATTTTATCCTTACTTACATTGGGTTCTAGAAAATCTTCATCACACATCAGCAGAGTAGGGTGCTTATGTGGCATATGATCTGGTAGTGTTAATTGGGACGTTTTCAGCTGATGTCCAGAGAGAAGTGTAGATAGGTATGTTTGTATTTTAGAGATGTCTGAAATGTTACCTAGGTGGTGCTGCTTCCTGTGTGCCAATATTAGAATCTGAAATTTAGCAGCCTGCTGTTTTCTGGCAATAATCTGACTTTGACTGTAAAGGAAACTTTGAAGGGAATATTCGTACATGAGTGTGGCTGTGCAAGAAATATGAGATACTGGTGTGATGATAAAAGTAAACAGTGCTTTAAAATTGCCAGCCCAAATGGGGCTTTTTTTGTTTTTTTTTCACCAGCACATGTGAAAGTTTGTGTTTGAGTGGATAAGTATGATCTTTGGTAGTGATGCAACCTAAAGAACTGGCAGTTGTTACCAGGGCACTTGAAAAAGGAAAACTTTAATACAAATATGGTTAGAAAATGTGATAGAACTTTCGGGACTTTTTGTAATTACCCTATTTTCTTATAGTTGGTGTTGCACTGCTCTGTTAGGTTTTGAATACTGAATCAAGGAGGAAAAGATTAAGAAGATTCAAAGGAAAATTTCTCCAGTGTCAGTTTAGGTAAAGATAGTTTTGCTTCATGGATTTTCTATAGCAGCATATGTTTCCTAAGTATATGATTTGTTCTTTTGGGTGATGTGTGAATTTGGAGCAATAGCAGCAAAGCTGTTGAATGTATGGAGTGTATAATAGAACAGAAAACAGAATAGAACCTGAATACATTTTTTTCACCCATTTATTTACGATGTATATAATATTACATTGTTTTTGTTAGTTCCTTCAGGCAGTTTTCCTTAGTTGTTTAAGTAAATATTCTTCAAGTATAAATCATTCAGAGATCATAATCTATTTGCTAGAGGAAAAAAAAAAATTAATTTTTCATATAGTGAAATCATTTGGCAGAGAGATATTTGCTTAATTTTAATTTCTGTATGTTTAGTTCTGTACGTATTCTTACAGAGTTTTCAGTGTTCTGAGTTCTTCAGAATTACACAACTGCACAACATCAGTTTACACAAAAAATAGAGTATGGTGGTGAATTGAAAGATTGTTTTTGTTTACACACCTGTATAATTCCATTAAAACTCATTTGTCATGTAGAATTTTATGCAGCAGAGAGAGTACAAAACAAGCATTTCAAACAGGCTGGATTTTCCCAGTTGGAGTCTCCTCGTCTATTAAGAAGGCAAGCTTCGTGTGCAAATTATTGATATGTAAAACCTATTCTGTAGAGTAAAAATGTCCCTTCAAAGAAGTAGCTGTCCTTCTGTCTTCAAATATCACTAAATTGCTTATCAAACCATTATACAGTCTTAAGGAAATGGTCCCTTAAGTCCTTGCCTTGGCTTTGTTGAAGAAGTATCTAATCACTTATTGCAGTGCAGAATGAACATTAATGAAGTTGTGAGGTCAAGTGCACAAAAGTTTGAAAGGGGTAATGCTTGTAGGTTAATTATAGCATGTTCATTTAATGGAGCAGAGAACTGAGCAAACCCTGCTGAGCTAGGAGTAACTACTGTATTTCCAGAGGTAGCAGTTCAGTTACACCAATGTGTTGGTGAATCCAAGCTGGTAAGTTTTGCCTTTGACTTCTGTTGTGGTTTAAACCCAGCCAGCCAGCTCGTTCACTCACTCCTCCCCCTTTTCCTCCCTCTTTCTTTCCTCCTGCCCCCCCCCCCCCCCCCCCCCCCCCCGTGCCCCCCCCCCCCCCCCACTTCCCTGCTCCTGGAGGGATGGGGAGGAGAATCGAAAGAATGTAACTCTCATGGGTTGAGACAAGAACAGTCCAGCAACCAATGTACAACACAAATCACCGCCACTACCACCACCGACAATGATAAGAGAAAATAACAAGGGAAGAGAATACGATAACACCCGCCGAAAAACGAGTCCAACCCAGAAGACCCCGTGTCCTTCTGGGTAACTCCCAGTTACCCCCGCAGGCATGACGTGTTGTGGTATGGAATACCTCTTTGGCTAGTTTGGGTCAGGTGTCGTGTCTCTGCTTCCTTGCGGCTTCCCCTCTTCCCTGGCAGAGCATGAGACTCACAAAGTCCAGGGTAAACATTACTTAGCAACAGCTAAAACCATCAGTGTTATCAGCACTGTTCCCAGGCTGAAAGTCAAAACACAACGCTGCACCAGCTACCAAGAAGGAGAAAATTGGCTGCTCCTGCTAAACCCAGGACAACTTCTTACATCAAATGTGGTAAAGCCAGTACTGGCAGAAATAGTTAATTCTGTATGGACCCAACAAATGCAGTTGTCCTCACATACTTCATTGCAAATTGGGAATTTGTTTTGGGATGGTATTACTATAGTCCTGTGGATAAGATTATATTTGTTTGGTTAATTTGGCTATATGTTCTGTATTTAAGTCATGTGTTGATGTGAACCAGTAGCCTGGCTGTCTTTTGCCATAGATTTTCATTTATATTTCTAAAACTGAGCAGGTGTTAGGTGCATAACTGCTCTAAGTCAACTGAAACGTGTCTAGCTAATGTCTTCGCTCTTGCTCATCTTCACCGGTCCTCTCCTTGCTTTTCAGGTAGTGTCTCTACAGTGGTTAGGAAAGTCTATTAAATTCCATCCAATAAGTAATACCTCTATTAGCTGCTATTGATTTTTGCATCTCAGTTACTCTCAATGCTTCCTTGTGGCTCTTCTAGTCTGTTTTATCTTTTATCCTCAACCTATATGGGTTGTAGATCTAATTTCTAATTAAGATCTAATTACTTTTCTGGCTATGTAATCCAATAGTCTTCTTTTCCTCTAGAATGTGACCATTATGGTGAAGAAAAGATACTGCCATCAACAGTATAACTCTGTCATAGGTAAGTGCAGTGTAAATAAATAAAGCCATGAATGCCTTTGGTATTTCTAAAGTAAATACTTCATAAAATGTTGTACAGGAGCTGTACAGGAATATGAAGACAGTCTTATGTGCTCTTGTAAGCTAAAATGCTAAGTTGTAAATGAAAACCTCTTCGTTAATTGTAAGCTAAGATGTTAGGTTGTAAATTGGGACAGCTCTGTTGATGAGAGCAAGATGGTAGGTTGTAAACTGGGACCGCTCTATTGAGAGCAAGATGAGCTGGTGCAGCCTTGGGGTATGTATAAAACAAGGGTAGCCTTTGAAGATAAGGAAGGAGTAACCAAGACAAATGGGGCCAGTTCACCCCCCTGTAGTAAGTGGGTGTGAAGATAAGAAAGGAATGACTAAGACAGATGGGGCCAGTTCCTTAAGATAAAGAAAGAAGGAGCAAATCAGAACAAACTGACCTAAAATGCAGACACAGATGTTAAGTAATTCACAAGAGTCTTTTCCACATGCACAAACACAGAGGTCAGTCAGCGGACACAGTGAGGAAGACTATCAGCAACCACCAAAGACCCCTCAAGACCACCAGTCAGCAAGAAAGTGCATGTGTAATTAAAATGCACATGCGCATTAAAATTAGTTCCAGGAAATCTAGTGAATATATAAAGCATTTCCTGGAAAGGTTGTAAATATGCATAAGTTTATTGGATATATGGATGCTGCTTGTAGACTCCAGGCGTGCTCAGCTTTGCAAAATGATTTTTGTGAGTGCCCAGCGCTGCAATAAAGAACGCCTGCTTTCTAGAACTCCAGATTGAGTCTCAGAGAGTATCTTCAACAGTCTGTTGCAGTAGTGCTCTAATTATTTCAAGTCGCTGCAGGTTATTTTGTTAGGAAGTATTGTAAAAGAGTATTTGTGTCTTGGAGAAACTTGTGACAGCAATACTTGTGTGGCTTCTGACATGTAGCATATGAAAAATACACTGTGCTTACAATGTTTGTTTAGCAGGAACGTGATAGAAGGTGCTAAGTTCAGTGCATATAAGAAAGCATACCTGTAGTGTAATTGATATATCTGTTGATTCAGCAGCAAAAGTGGGGAGGCATAGGTTACCATAAGCAGATTTGTCCATGTAATAGGTGCATTTTTGGAAACTGAAATGTACATTTTTAAGGTATTTGGTTTTATGCAGTGTAGTCTTAAATTTAAGTGAAGCAGTCAATAAAGTGGTACTTAAACATGAGATTTTTTTTTTAAAGAATTCAGTAATCAGTTTATTTACTACTTACTCTAAAGTATTTTATTGGGTTTTATTAGGGTGTTTTTTTCTGCTTTGTGGTTTGCTCTCAAAATGATAGTATTATTTGCAAAACTAAGCTACTTAGTGAATACTGAAGCTAATGCTTATGTTTATCCCTTGAATGCATTGTAACATCTTTTCTATTACTGCATTCTCAGTTTTTAAAGTGCCACTTGGCTAGCAGCTTGTGATGGGTCTGAGTGCAGACAAAAGTTCTGGAAGCAGTGGATACTTAAATTGAAAAGTGCATGGTAGGTTATTTCTTCTAAGGAAAGCACTTGTGGCTTTCAAAAAGCAGTTACAGGTTTTGAAACTTTACAAATTTGAAAGACGTGAGTTGTGAGTTTGTGAATCCATCAGGTGTCTGCACCCAGGTGCTGGTAGCGGGGCTTGCAGTGGCATCTGTGAGGAGAGGCCAGGGCTGTCCTGTGCTGGACATGCTGCAGGGCACAGCTAAGCCCAGGAGTGAAGGTGGTGGCATCTGCAGAAAAACATTTAAGAAAGGGTAAAAAAGGCTGCACAGCAGCTGGGAGAGAAAAGGTCCTGCAGACGCCAAGGCCAGTGCAGGAGAGGAAGAGGTGCTCCAGGCATGAGAGAAGAGATTCCCCTGCAGCCCATGGTGCAGACTATGGTGAAGCAGGCTGTATCCCTGCAGCCCATGGTGTTCCACGGTGGAGCAGATATTCACACTGCAGCCCATGGAGGACCCCACACCAGAACAGGTGGATAGATCCTGAAGGAAGCTGCAGGCCGTGGAAAGTCCCTGCCAGAGCAGCCTCCTGGCAGGAGCTATGGCTTGTGGAGAAGAGCCCACACTGAGCAGGTTTTCTGGTAGGAATTGTGCTGCATAGTGAGGACCCATGCTGAAGCAATTCTTGAAGGACTGTCCCCTGTGGAGGGACCCCAAGCTGGTGCAGGGGAACAGCATGAGGAGGAAGGAGCAGCAGAGAGGTGCTGTTATGGACTGACCATAAACCCCCATTTCCTGTCCCCTCTGCTACTTATAGAAGGGGATGTGGGTGTAGAGGAGTGGGAAATGAAGGAGTGAAGGGGAGCCAGGGAAGAAGGGGTGTGGGGAAAGGTGCTTTCAAACCTTTTTGTTTCTTACTATCTTACCTGATTTTAATTGGCAGTAAATGTTATCCAAGTCTAATCTGTTTTGCCTGTGACTAATTGGTGGGTGATCTCCCTGTCTTGATCTTGACCATGAGCTCTTTCATCTTATTTTCTTCTCTTTTTGAGGAGGTGGAATATCTTACTGGTTCTCCAGTGAGAAGGGGGAGTGAGAAAATGTCTGGATGGACACCTCACTAAAGATAAAGATTAAACAAAAGTGGGGGAAGTGCAAAAAGAGATTTGTCATAACTGAGCTCAGTTTTTGAAACTAAAACTTCCCTGCTGTATCTTGTGATTCAGAATGAAGACTGGAATTAAAAAATACTGGCAATAGTTTCTTAGGATTCTGTTCCAAATTGGCTGTTTCAATTAATAAATTATCTTACCTTTTTCCACAATACAACAATTTGTATTTGAGTGTGCATGTAGGATATTTTTAAAATGAAGATTCTAAATGTATTGCAAGTCTTCATCTCTGTCAACTTAATACTATTAAGGGGTGGGCTTAGTTATGGTTCATACTTTAGAAATTAAAGCTCTGTGATTATAGATAGGTAAAAAAAAACTTGCACAAATTAATATCTTACTGGCAAAGCTTCAGTGTCTTGACTGCTAGGGTTCTTCTGGACAGGCATGCACACGGAGCAGCTAATAATGCTTTGGATAAATACTAAATAATCTGGCCTTGAGTTTCTAGCTTGGCTACGTGAGCTGAAATAGTGTGAGATTGGAAGCTTTTCCAATGATAATAGACTTTCTCTGGTTTACAACTGCTTTAAGAGATCACTACTGCCTTAGTGCTGCTACTGGATTTCTCATGCCCTTTGTCCTCATGTTGCCTGTTTGCTAGTCCATGTTACTGATGACTTCTCAGCACCCTCAGCACCCAGCCTGTTATAGCAGTTGTCTGCTCAGTGAGCTACATGCTATGCTCACGTGATAGTTAAATACAAAGACCAAAAGGGGAAATCTGAAATAAATGAGAAAACTAGGACTGTGTTATGCTTCTACGATGAAGTTGTTATGTGTTAGAAGAATACAGTTTTAAATTCATTTGACATGTGGTATTGTATATGTGCTTTCAGGTAAGCTAAGGAAAACTTAAAAGCTAAGAATCCTATTAGCTCACCCAGTCACCTCTGTAGTCCTTGTGTTCTTTTGTGGAGCCCATTGGTATGAACTCTTAGAGCCTTTCACTGTTCCAGTGTGTCTTTCATTGTTTGGTGTTACGAAGATTTTGGTATGTGGAAAATAGTGACAGTTTGGCCTTCGACTGCTCCTGAGGTTACCAAAGCATTGTGTTAGTAACTCTGCTTTTTTTACCCTTTGGTGATGACACTAATATGCTGTGTTTAGATGCATTGCTTCTATTTGCCATGAAGCCTGTGTATTGGCACTAAAAATTCTAGGGTTGTGTACATTGTTATTTCTCCCTGGAGAGCCAGTCAGATACAGAACATAAGTCTATTTTCTTTGGTACTTTATGCATTCTGATGCATCAAAGGTACTGGCCTTCTTTCTAAGTACTAAATGGTGCTCTTGAAGTCCTACCTCAACACACTCCATTTCTAGTTTTCCTATTTCTTTCTTAGATTTTGTAGCATAGTGAATGAGAAAAAATTGCCTATTACCTCCCCCTGAGTATATTCGTCTAAGATCAGTGGTTTGGAAGGGGATTTTAGGATATCTAGTGGTGGTGCTTGAACTGTCAAGATTGTGTTGTAGCCAAACATGCTTGTATTTTTATCTTAAATGCCTCTGTCTACACCATACCACACCACACCACTACATTTATGACTCTCTGCTGAAATCCTTTCCTTTGGATTAAGTCTGCTTGGGCTGGAACCTGTAATTATGGTTTTCAGTTGATTTCAAACCAAGTTTTAATTGTACAGGTTATATGTTGGTCAGCTGTTGATTTAGTGGTTTTAAAATATTGCCTAGTTATGACCCTGCTGTGAATATTATGATTCAGAAGATGCAATTATTTTTATGGTTGTTCATATTCTTTGGTATCTTTACCGGCTCTTTGATTTTTTTTTTAAATGTTGTAATAAATAAGCTATGATGGGAGTAATGACTTTATGAGAAATGGATTTAAGAAATGAAGGGGTCTTAAGATCAAAGGGTTTAAAGTATGCTGCTGATTACTATCTTTAAAGTAGGCATCACACAAATTACATTACTTTTAGAGAATTTTTTTTTTTTTTACTGCAGTGTATTCTTGACATTGAAGCAAATGTAGCAAAATAGTTATGAACAGATATTTAACTTACCCTGAAATTTTGCCCATCTAGTAGCCAACTGTCTTCTTAATTTGGGGGTTTTAAACCACTGTTGGCAAATAGAAAACAGTATCTACTATTGTTATGGATAACACAAAAATAAAAGCTTTCTTGGGATTTCTTGGCATTCTTTATTGAAGTAGTAAGCTGATACTATGCTTTTGCTGAAATCTGTGTTGGAATTAGTGTCTAGGCAATGATGCCAAATGATGGACAAGGGGAGTGGGGAAGCAAATATATGACTTAATTAAGTGGGGCAAAGGACTGTAGGAGTTACTGAAAGAACTGAAATGTCCTTGTCATGAGTTCATAAATTGGGCATCTCCAAAATTATAATTCAGAAAAGATAGTGGAATTGTTTGAAGTTAGAATATCTTTCTGTATCTTCAATAACTGTGCAGCTTGAGCATTTCCTTAGATCAACAGATACTACTTGGGCAGGGGGAGGAACAAGAGATAAAATGCTTTCTTTTGTGGAGCTGGCATAAGATGTGATGAGTGTCTACATGTCAATTTTAAGTGTGTTTACTTACTCAGGAGGTAGTTTTGTAGGGTTTGTGTTTTATCATGGGGTTTTTCTTTGTGGTTTTATTTCATTTTTTTCAATTGTTTCAGTAAGCCTTGAGAATTTTTAGTTCTCTTCAGTTATGCTAGTAGCTCTTGCTAGAAAGGTGGAGACTGTACATCAGGGATCAGAGACTTTAACCTTACAATAGTGCTTTTCATGAAGGATCTTCATACTTTTCATGAAGGTAAAGCAAATGGGTTATAGCTCAATTGTATGATTAGTTGAAGGGAGGTGTAATTTGTACAAGATTCTTACTGTACTGAACAACTGTGTTTTTCTTTTAACAGAATTCCTCTAAAAACTAGTAAATATTGCTGGTGGTGTGCATTCTGGAGATATGTTTTTACTACAGATACTACCAAAGTTTTGTGAATGGGATGAGCATGCTGCCTTTGACTGCTTACTGCCAGTAATCAGCTGGGCACTTCACATTAATCCTCACGTTGTCCAACTGGACTTTGCTTATACTGATTTTTAAAAGGAAGAAGAAATCAAGGTGGAGTACCGTAAACTTGGCATGGACAATAAAAAGAAAGACAAGGACAAGCCAGATGAACGAATGGCACGGCCTGGTGGGAGATCAGGCCACAATTCACGTGGAACTGGTTCTTCGAATTCTGGAGTGTTAATGGTTGGCCCAAACTTCAGAGTTGGTAAAAAAATTGGATGTGGTAATTTTGGAGAACTACGGTTAGGTAAGATTCTTTTTTCTTTATTTCAGTTTACATTATTTGAGACCATTTTATGCAGTCCAGGCATGAAAATGTCTACATGAATACACCATATAGCTCTTCAAGCTACTTTCAGGCTTCAGATAGGTTAAATTTGCCTTGCAGATCTTTTCTGGCTTGACCTTGGCAAGGGCAAGTTCTATCACATAAGAATCTCTGTAGTGGTAGAATTTCTGGGACTAAAAATCTTCTGTAAATACGTGCTATGCTATTGTAAATTCAGTCAGTTGCCATTTTCAAGATGCTGGAAATTACTTCATGGTTAATGTGTTTTGCTACCTTTCCTGGCTCCTGAAGCAGTTTGTTTAGGTGTAGTCGGAGCTAGGTGTATGTGAAACACGTCCTCCTCCTGCAGGTCTCGCTTACAGAACTGTGGTTTGGAGGTGTCATGTAGGAGCTGCTACAGTGTTTTTAATAGCAGCAGGCATATGGATTGCTTGATTTCCTTTCCATCAGCAGCACTGTAGTGAGTCTGCAGAATGAGCTGCCGTTACACAGGGGTTCTGAGAATCCGTCTGTAGAGAGAATCTGGGAGATAGGTAATTCAGGCATTTAGTTCCCCATTGATTGATAAAATAGAGACTACATAGTGGGCATGTGCTTTTGGAAGACTATATATTTAGTTTGGGGGGCTTAAATTCACATATGTTAGTATGATTAGCCAGGGTTTTCAAGAGCTGGGATTCTGGATGTGTTAGCAGATGTAACTTGACACTTAATGGAATAAATTTATTCCAGTATTCCTGGAAGTCTTGAGTTAGTGCACTGCTTCAAGCTTTAAAGAGAGATGGATTAGAAAGTAGGGTGGAGGGGTGTGTAGCTGTTGTGTTTTTGTTGATTTTTCTGCCTCTGATAGAACTACTACTCATTGTCCTTCAGACAATGTTTTTAGTATAGTGCTTGCATAAAATGTAACGTGTTTTTAGTATAGTGCTTTCTGGAGGCCTTATCAAGTCTGACTCAGAATGTAAGCAAGTTTAGCTTATTAATACTGTAGAGAAGTGAAAGATAACATTGCTGGAGCTCTGACTGAGAATAGTGAATTTAACACAGTCTCAATAAGAGGTACTCTTGTTATTCCTATTAATAGTTAAACAAGATTGATATATTTTGACCTTTACAGTGTTACGTGCCACTGTAGGTCACAAGTCAAGCTGAAATTGCCTTCAGCTTTCCCTAAACTTTTCTAAACCGGCTTTGAATGATAATTTTTCTTTTAAACCACTCCATAGACTAAACCAGTAATGTCACATTTACTACTAAAGGCAACTGTAAACTAATGAAGTTCAATTTTTTCCTGTCAGTTATCTTGGTCACAATGTACATGTGCAGAGTTGACTATCTATTTCAGATCAATATCAGATTAACTCATTTGCTTGCAGCAGATACAGTGAAATAATCTATTTCATTCTAAATACAATATTGAAGTAGTTAAGACTTACAGGCTAATAGTACTGAAATAAAGTATGACAAACAAGTAAAAGGAATAGGAGGAAACTAATAGTGTAGTGTACTGTCCTGCATCAGCTACCAGGACAAGTGCAGCCTTTCTTTTTTTAATGTCTGTTTTATTTGCATATATAGTAGATATTTCAAATATGTACTGTTACTTGTGTGGCAAAATGTTTTAAATCTAAGTTTATGAAAGCAGGAGTTAAAATTGGTATTACAGATTCTGATTTAAGTTTATTTTTGCATTCACATTACTGTAGCAAGTAACTTAGAGTGGGCATCCTTCCTACAGAGATGTACACAAGCGCTTTGTTTTATGTACTCCAGCAAACAGGAATATGTTTTGAGCATGTACCTTAGGGTTGAATCTTAAAAACTTAAAGGAGGAATAAAGTTGTAAAGCAGTGAAGATGTGCTTCAGACAAAGCACACTTTTTATCGAAAACATAACTCAAATGACTATAAGAAATAGCTGAAGATGTCTGGATTGCCACTCGAGTCTGTGGGTAGGTCTTGGAATTATCCATGCTTTCAGTGGTCAGATTAGGGCATGCTGCCTATGCTGATACTAAGTTTATTATTGTAGAGCCCTCAGGTAACTTTGTGCATGTGAAGTTGATTCCTTAACAGTCATCTGATTTTAATGCTTTTTTTTTTCAGCTTTGCGAAAGTATTTCAGAAGTGTTAGAGCTGAGATCATAGTCTTTGACTATAAATGTAACTGCCTTCACAGGGAACCATTTTGCCTTGGTCCAGATCTTTTCCCTGTCTTCTTTAACAAAACTGAGCTAAACATGGGATATTCAGATCTGAATAACAGTACATAGAAAAGAGGAAGGGTTCTCAGTAAAAATAATATGCACAGAACTCCTTTGAAGACTGTAGATAATTATAGCCCCGGAAGGAGTCAGGATAAAGGAGGAGTTTGCTTTGGTAGATGAGGATTGGGTTAGGGATCAGTTAAGTAATCTGGACATCTATAAATCGATGGGTCCGGATGGAATACACCTGTGGGTGCTGAGGGAGCTGGCAGAGGTCATTGCTGAGCCACTCTCCATCATCTTTGGTAGGTCATGGGAAACAGAAGAGGTGCCTGAGGATTGGGGAATGGCAAATGTCACGCGGGTCTATAAGGGGCAAGGAGGACCCAGGTAATTATAGACCAGTCAGCCTTACCTCCATCCCTGGAAAGTTGATGGAACAACTTATTCTTGACACCATCTCTAGACATATCAAGGATGAGGGGGTCATTAAGAGCAGCTAACATGGCTTTACCAAGGGGAAGTCATGTTTGACCAATCCTATAGCCTTCTATGAGCAAGCAACTAGGTGGATGGATGATGGTAGAGCAGTAGATGTGGTTTTTCTTGATTTCAGTAAGGCATTTGATACTGTCTCCCACAGCATCCTCATAGATAAGCTAAGGAAGTGTGGGCTTGATGATCAGGTAGTGAGGTGGATCAAGAACTGGTTGGAAGGAAGAAGGCAGAGAGTTGTGGTCAATGGGGCAGGATCTAGCTGGAGGTCTCTGACTAGTGGAGTCCCTCAGGGATTGGTGCTGGGACCAGTGCTGTTTAATATTTTCATCAACGACCTGGATGAGGGAACTAAATGTACCCTCAGCAAGTTTGCTGATGATACTAAACTGGGAGGAGTGGCTGACACACCAGAGGGCTGTGTTGCCATTCAGCAAGACCTGGACAGGCTGGAGAGTTGGGCAGAGAGGAACTTGATGAAATTCAACAAGGGCAAGTGTAGAGTCTTGCATCTGGGGAAGAACAACCCCATGTACCAGTACAGGTTGGGGGCTGACCTGCTGGACAGTAGTGAAGGGGAAAGGGACCTGGGGGTCCTGGTGAATAGGAGGATGACCATGAGCCAGCAATGTGCCCTTGTGGCCAAGAAGGCCAATGGCATCCTAGGGTGCATTAGAAAGGGTGTAGTTAGTAGGTCGAGAGAGGTTCTCCTTCCCCTCTACTCTGCCTTGGTGAGGCCGCATCTGGAATATTGTGTCCAGTTCTGGGCCCCACAGTTCAAGAAGGACAGGGAATTGCTTGAAAGAGTCCAGCGCAGAGCTACAGAGATGATTAAGGGAATGGAACATCTCTCCTATGAGGAGAGGCTGAGGGAGCTGGGACTCTTTAGCTTGGAGGAGACTGAGGGGTGACCTCATCAATGTTTACAAATATGTAAAGGGTGAGTGTCAGGATGATGGAGCTAGGTTTTTTCAGTGATGTCCAGTGATAGGACAAGGGGCAGTGGGTGTAAACTGGAGTATAGGAGGTTCCATGTGAACATCAGGAAACATTTCTTTACTGTGAGAGTGACAGATCACTGGAACAGGTTGCCCAGGGGGGTTGTGGAGTCTCCTACGTTGGAGATATTCAAGGCCCGCCTGGACAAGTTCCTGTGTGATGTACTCTAGGTTACCCTGCCCTTGCAGGAGGGTTGGACTAGATGATCTTTTGAGGTCCCTTCCAACCCTTAGGATTCTGTGATTCTGTGAAAAGTGTTAGAAGTGACAACTTATTTTTTTCTTTGCCTGCTGTTTGTTAATTCTGCACCTGTAAAGCTTGTGTGATACTTAGTCAGTGCATACAATTTGAAGTAATGCTTGTTGAAATATGCTTATCCAGTTACAGAATCACTTTAGGATCAGAAGATGCATTTTCCAAATGGTATAAGCATTTAACTCATTAATACCCTTGTCCTGTTTGTTGTAACTTTAAGCTTATTAAATACCAGAATTGAGGGAAAAAAAGAATCCTAGTTAATTCTAACTTTAATCAGTGTCTGGTGTTCCAAAACCATATGATAATTTAAAAATAAATGTTAAAACAGTTTTCAGCAATAAATATGGAAATGTAGAATATCACATTCTACTTATAGTAGTTTACCAATTTTCAACTCTTCTAGTGTATAAAAATTTTGCAAACTTTATGAAATAGCTGAAACTGCCACTTTTTACACTATTCAAGAATAAAGTTCTCTTCAAAGTATGGTATCTGGCTAATAAAGCCACATTTTTTTTTTTAAATCACTAGCAGGACACCTAGCACCTTCAATCAAAAATATTTCAAAGGCTTTCTCAAGGTTTTAGTGGCATTTTACTTGAAAAGGAAAGCCAATGTCTCACATTTTTTTTTGTTCTTTTTTTTCAAGGAAAAAATCTATACACAAATGAATATGTGGCAATTAAAATGGTAAGTTCGTTTTTTTTTATTTTTTTTAAGTATTTCAGATAAGAAACTAATCATAATTTTCCTTTCATATTTAGTGGTTTGATTTCTTTAATTGAAATCCTTAATAGTCTTGTATGTTTTCAATTGACTAGATGAAAGCAGTTAATGATAGAAATTATATTCTTGGTCCACATTGAATAAAACCAGTGTTAATTGTCACTGTTCTCACAGCTATGTCTGTATTTGTGAAGTTGATGATTAACTGCTGCATCAAGGATGAGCTCAGCAGGTATCTTAGTAGATTTCTTTTCTATGCAACAAGTAGAGGAACACCAAATTTAACGTGAATCTGACTAACTTCAGGTGACTACAGAGAAGCTCTGGAAATTCTGCAGACTGCCTGTTATTTTAATACCCTTATTCCTGCCCCAAAATATTTTTAATTTGTAATCACTGGAATTGTACATCTGTTTTGGTAGACATGTTTTATTTGCAATGATGTGTAAAATGCTTTCTTCACTTAAAAGCATGGTAAATATGAATACTTTGTTAATATGTCATTGTTCTTTTTATTCCGATGCTTTCATCCAGACTACTCAGTTTACTTCATGTTTTGCTCCTGGTTACTTTTTAACGTCTTGGTAAATGACTTTTTTTTTTTTGTAACCAATGTATTTCAGGGTGAAATTCAGTTGTTTACTTTCTGTTATTGAATGGCTTTTAGGTCTCACATTAATTTCCTTTTGCTGCAATAGAACAGAAAATTTTGCATAGAACAGTATGGTGAATTTCAGGTTCCATAAAGTGAGAGGTAAACTATGGAAACAGAAATACATGGCTTTAGATGGGGAATCTGAAAAGTGTTACAAATACATACCACAAACTCCTGAAAAATATTTGTAAATATTGCAAGTGTAGCAATATCAATTTTTATTTCAAAAGTAGTTAACAGATTTCAAGGCATTCAAGTTTACAGTTTGAAGGAGAAACAGTGGGTGCAGTTTTGAGGACGTGTATGTATGTGTTACACCAGATTTAAATTACTTTTGGTTTAAAATATCTTGAACTTATTCTGTATGTTTAGTAAAACTTGAAAATGGACTGAAAATTCTTCCAGGTAAAGGCTGTTTACTATAAAGCACATTCAGGCATAGTTTGCAAGGTAGTGATTTTTATTGAATCACTAATTACCTCCTGATGTGGAGCAAGAGAACTTTGGTCAGTGGGTTTTGGCGAAACCATTTCATTATATATGTAACTATTAAAAAACTCGGCTACTATTTCAACCCCTTTAAACATTCAAAGATGCTTTTCAGCTTTTACTTTGTTTCCAAACTACTCAATCTTAGAACTGTAGAAAAAGCTTGATGCATCATTATTGACTAATTTACTTCAAAGTCACTAAAGAACCAGTGTAGTAAAGTATGTCTGCAATTTATTACTAGTGCTTGAACTCTGAATATGTAGTTAATTTTTTGAGTTATCCTCTTACATTAGTGGCATGAAAAGCTGTAGTGTCTTTGCAATAAACAACAGATGGAAGGGATCACAGTGAAAATCATAGAATCATAGAGTTGTTAGGGTTGGAAAGGACCTTAAGATCATCAAGTTCCAACCCCCCTGCAGTGGGCAGGGACACCTTACGCTAAATCATATCACCCAAGGCTTCGTCCAACCTGGCCTTGAACCCTGCTAGGGATGGAGCATTCACAACCTCCCTGGGCAACCCATTCCAGTGCCTCACCACCCTAATAGGAAAGAATTTCCTTCTTGTATCCAACCTAAACTTCCCCTGTTTAAGTTTTAACCTGTTACCCCTTGTCCTATCACTACAGTCTCTAATGAAGAGTCCCTCTCCAGCATCCCTATAGGCCCCCTTCAGATACTGGAAGGCTGCTATGAGGTCTCCACGCAGCCTTCTCTTCTCCAGGCTGAACAGCTCCAACTTTCTCAGCCTGGCTTCATACGGGAGGTGCTTCTGTCCCCTGATCATCCTCGTGGCCCTCCTCTGAACTTGTTCCAACAGTTCCATGTCCTTTTTATGCTGAGGACACCAGAACTGCACACAATACTCCAGGTGAGGTCTCACAAGAGCAGAGTAGAGGGGCAGGATCATCTCCTTCGACCGGCTGGTCACGCTCCTTTTAATGCAGCCCAGGATACGGTTGGCTTTCTGGGCTGCGAGCGCACACTGAAGCCGGCTCATGTTCATTTTCTCATCGACCAGCACTCCCAAGTCCTTCTCTGCAGGGCTGCTCTGAATCTCTTCTTTGCCCAATCTGTAGCTGTGCCTGGGATTGCTCCGACCCAGGTGTAGGACCTTGCATTTGCCATGGTTAAACCTCATGAGGTTGGCATCAGCCCACCTCACAAGTGTGTCAAGGTCACTCTGGATGGCATTCCCTCCCTCCAGGGTATCAACTGAACCACACAGCTTGGTGTCATCAGCAAACTTGCTGAGGGCACACTCAATCCCACTGTCCATGTCAGTGACGAAGATGTTGTTAAACAAGACCGGTCCCAACACCGATCCCTAGGGACACCACTCATTACTGGTCTCCAGCCGGACATTGAGCCATTGGCCGCAACTCTTTGTGTGCGGCCATCCAGCCAGTTCTTTATCCACTGAGTGGTCCATCCATCAAATTGATGTCGCTCCAATTTAGAGACAAGGATATCATGTGGGACAGTGTCGAATGCTTTGCGCAAGTCCAGTTAGATGACATCAGCTGCTCTACCCCTGTCCATCAGTTCTGTAGCCCCATCATAGAAGGCCACCAAATTAGTCAGGCAGGATTTCCCCTTAGTGAAGCCATGCTGGCTGTCACCAAGCACCTTGTTGATTTTCATGTGCCTTAGCATGCCTTCCAGGAGAATCTGCTCCAAGATTTTGCCAGGCACAGAGCAAAATCAACACTGGAGCTTGCATCATCATTGTAAGTTATAAAATACATTTGCTAGCAGGTAGAACTAGTGGGTTCTTTTAATATGGTTCTTCCTCCTCTTTTTTTTTTTCTTTTTCTTATATCTTTCTTCTCTACAAGGTTCAGTCTGTTAAAGGGAGCTGCATCAAATTGTAGGATTTAGTTGAATTTTGCTTTTTTTGCTGGTTTTTTTTTTTTCTCTCCTATTGGAGACAGTGCCAAGACTTTTTACTAACAGGTAGGTAGGTTGCATTTGCTTGTGGTGTACAGTCCTCTCCCTTTTAAAATGTAATCCTGGGCTTATTCCCTTTGTGCTTTGAGAGTAGTTAGGCCTATGTTCAATATTTGTTATTCTAAATGAGTCACTCTTAATTTCCTCTGTTTTATACCTCTATAGTTCAGGTTTAAACCTCTTGAATCGGTTACTTGAATTATGTATGTATTCTAGCTTGCAGAGTTACCCTTGGCATGTATGGCTGTGGTAATATCTGCCCTGCAGCATCCTAAAATAATATTCATCATGGTAGTATTCCATTGCCGACTTACTGTTTTCTTGTGAGCAGCAAGACATTTCCTATGCCAGATGTTTTGTGTATAAATGGTAACAGTGTAGTGCAGGAGGATTGTATAGGTTTCTCTCAAGAGCATGAGTTATAATGATTACATTTATACAGCATCTTGCAGGCGTGCTTCTGATGTTAAATGTAAGTGGGTTTTATAACTACTCTTTTGACTTAAACTTTACATTCTGTTAATATTTCCCCTATGGACAAATTATACCTGTGTGTTCCTGTTTATGATGCTTATGGCAACTTCATGACCTACTGGTTTGAGGAAATTGTTGAATCAGTTTTTTTTTATGTGAGACCTGAGGGTCATACAATGTGTGCATTTTACTATATAAAGTTTCTATGTAAAGGCATATATTTATTCTGGTAAAATGGTTTCAGTTTAAGGATCTTAATCTGGCTCTTTCATTATGGTCTGGGCAGATACTCAGCTTTGAAAGGCTGGAACAGACTTTTTAAAGAACTGGAATGAAACCCTTAAGACCTGGACTTTATCAGCTGTGCACTGTCTAGTCATGTTTGTATGTTTCTGATGGTCTATTAATATACAAATTGGTTTCTTGTGATCAGGTAGCTCTTCAGCAATAAGGATTTGATATATGTGAATTATACCTTTCCTCCACTCCATTTATTGTTAAATTTGCTTCCTCTATTATAAGACCCTCTACTTCACTTAAACCTCCTATTCTGTATTCAGCTCTTCCCTCTCCCTCATTCTTTTTCCCTTTCCCTTTGACAAATTTCTACATAGCCCAGACTTATCTCCTCTGCAGGATGCTTAGCCACTACAGAAATACTAAATAAAGAAATTCTGCTTGATCTGCTTCTGGAATTAGGTCTCTTTTTCTTTCTGTCTTAATGTGAAAGATAGCAAGCATGAGGTACTGCTCATTAATCTGTAATCTTTAACTCACTGATTTGTTAATTATGTAACTGTTAACATTTTAGTCCTTAAAATTCTAAGTGGGGGGTGTGGAAAGAAGATAGTGGTTAGTTCCAAGGCTGGAATGCTTTCGTGGTGTTTTTTTTGTTTGTTTTTTTTTTTTTGTTTTGTGTTTTATTTTTTATTTAGTCCTTTTTTTGTTGTAACAAAATCAGTGCAGTCTAGAATGATGGCATTTCAGAACATCTCTTGCAGGCTGTAGTAAATCTAAATCAAGTGTAAGTCTGTTTATTAAACTGATCTGATTTCTAACCTTAAGGTCAGAGTAAGTAAACTGCCTCTTTTCTTAGAGCCCTTCAGCAGGGAAGTGGCATATCTTGAAAACTGTATAGTAGTTTGCTCCTTGTATTGGGCACAAAAATAACTGCGGAAAACCGCCACACATTATGAACTTGAAACAGATTTCTCATTTCAGGTGTCTTTACCCTTTTGTTTGAATGCATCCTACAAAAGAAAAAAAAGCATAAACACTGGGTTCAAAAGAACCTTTCTGAGGAACTGAGGAGTTCTTGTTTTTGCTGCTCAAGTAGCTGATGCTTAATAAATTATGTATCAGTTCTTTGAAGGCAGCAGAACCCTCAGTCCCTCATTAAGAGAGAGAAATGCTGTTTTGCTGGGACAAAAGAAGGTATTTTTTTTTTTAATATAGAAACTGAAATTATTAGACTTGAATATAAAAGTAGCATAGTGGAGGTTGTGTGCAGAACATTACAGAAATCCTGGAACAGTTCTTTCTGGTTATTTCTGTAAGAAGACTTGAGAGTTTTTTTAAGTAAACAAAATACATTATTTCGGTATGAGGAAGAGTTGGCTTCTGAGTCCTCTGGGATTAACATGATGTTTGAGCAGTTACATGTTCCCAAACTTATTTTTAGATGCTAAAATTCTAATAAAAAGGAAAGATCCATTATTTGCCATTGTTCTAATTCTTCAGTAGCTTTTTAGACTTATTCATAAAAGTTTAGTTATGGTGGTGTATTCTTCACTCTTATGGTGGAAGATTACATTTAACTTACCTTTGTCTTGATCTATTCTTATCCATCTGTCTTCTCATTTATAAGTAGTTCCCTGCATACTGCAAAGTCAGATGTACAGGAACAAAACGAATTTTATGTGAAGAACTTACAGTGCTTGCCCTCTCACAAGTTGTGTTGAACATAAGGTTGTATTTCCTTAGTATGTTTGGAATTACTCAACAGTAAGGAAGACACCTAAGCCTCCTTACAAAAATAAGGTAATTCTAGAAGACTTTTAGCCAATAAGTGGACTACAAGTACACATTACCACATTTTTTCACCATTCCTGGAGGGAGTAGAAGTGTTGTCTCTCTGCTAGACAGGGTTTAACTTCAGCGTTTGGCTGGTGTGCACTTGTCAAGTAGACTTAACTATTTTAAAACATTTGCCTTCTGGAGCCTTATCAGAACTGTTTCCTGCTGATGACTGGAACAGGTAGCATTGATTTGAAAATGTTTAGATGTGTATGTCAAAAATTGGAAGCTGCTTCCTTTCACTAGGATTTTTTTTTTCAATTTAAATAGGTTTAATATCTACAAGCTATTTTTCACCCTTATAGAGAGACCATCTTGTAACATTGAGTGGCAATTAAGTTATTAATGTAATATCACTTGAAGGCAAAACTATACAACTGAATAAAGTCAAACTGCTGATAAGCCAGTGTCTTGTCTTAGTATATTCAGCAGACATGCAGCAGACAGGTTTATGGACTAAAATATTTTATTCTTAGCAGGCAGAATTGCAGGCTTTATTTAGAGACTGTGTAGAGAGTGGTATACAGATTTGTGTAATACTACTCAAGGCAAACTTGTAATTACGTTTGTGTGGTTTTGCAGTAGGTTAAAATGTTTCAGTAGGATGCTTCATAGTGGATTTACTTACACCTCTGAAAGCTGAGTACTAAAGATTAGGCCCATGTTTACAGTGAAGCATTTTGTTAAGGGATATCTGTCTTTAATACCTGGAGGTAAATATCGTGTGTTGTTATAAACTTCAAGCTTTTGGTGGCTCAGTTAGTCTTGCCTTAGTAATTCAGTTTGTGAAGGATCAGCACCTCTTTGTTTTAAAAAGTGCTTGCTCCTTTTTTGCAAAGAATTTCAGTGTTCAGCTAGAATGAATGCACTGGAGCACAAAAAGCATATGTTGCATTTTATTTACTTATTTATTTACTCTATCTATCTATCTTAGAAACTGTTACATTGACACCTCTTTACTTCTGGGCCACAACCTTTGGCATCCTGGCAAAATCAAATGCATAAATGTACAGTACCAGGGACTACTTGTACTACTTGTACTGCTTGGCTGTAATAGTAGTGCAGTTTGAAACACCTGCATGTTGGAAGGAGACGGGTTGAGGAGAAGGAGTAAGTTTCTCATGATTGCACATTGTCTTATGGTTTCTATGGCCTAGATGTGCCAGTGGAAGACAACACCAGGCAATGAGCTGTTGGTTTCTAGAGAAGATGGTATAACAAAAAAGATGAGCACCTTACTCAAACTTAATGATACGCTGTTAATGTCCGGATTATACTGATGCAGTGGAAGATGTTACATATTGCAAGAAACCGGGCATATATTCTAAAAGATGATGTAGGAAACTGTTTTAAGAATCTTGTGATAAATATCTTTACTCTGCTAAGGGAAATACTCAAGAAGTATTCATTTAGGCTGGTTGTCTGTTAGTGTGCTTGATCTCAGTCACTTTATTCTGTGAGACTGTTACATCTGTGTATATAGAACGCAGAATTAAGATTTCATTAACTTACCTAAATTATGTGGGGAGAAGAAAGCTTTAAACTAAAAACTTATTCTGACGCATTTTTTGTTGGTTTGGATTTACAGCATACAATAATGCTACTTGATTTCTGCTAACTGTTACTCTTTGGTGGAAAGATTTGTTCCCTCCCCCCCCCCCCCCCCCAAGGTCCTAAAACAAAACTTCTTTTTTTATTAAGATTTAGCTTTTAATTTATGGAGAGTATTTTTCATCTGTTAAGCTGCATGACGCATCACCCATATGATTTGGAGAGATAGATTATTGTTTAACTGTTCCATTGTGGGCCTGTGATTGGGTTTGCATGGTGGCCCCCAGTCCTGTGGAGCAATACAAGATGTAGGTATTCCTATATGCTCTAGTCTCACCTGACTGAGGTTTAGGTTTTTTACTTGCTTAATTTCCAGTCATTTTGGAAGAAACGTTCAGCCTTTCCATATGACTTGGAAGCCATAGGGTTAGTTTGGCTGGTAGGAGGTAACTGTATTAGTTTTCAGGCTTTGGCAGAGAGGCTTTGTTTTAAATGTTGTTTTTGTTTTTAAATCAGGAGCCAATGAAGTCGAGAGCACCACAGCTACATTTGGAATACAGATTCTACAAGCAGCTAGGATCTGGAGGTAAAAAGCAGTATCATGCATTTTACTGTGATGTAATCCAGAATCAGTTTTTGACAGTTTTCTGATTTAGGGGCATAAGTCTATTTAATAATATCATAGAACAGTTTGGGTTGGAAGGAACCTTAAAGCTCATCTAGTTCCAGCCCCTCTGCCACGGGCAGGGACACTTTCCACTAGATAGGTTGCTCCAAGCCCCATCCAGCCTGGCCTTGAACAATGCCAGGGATGGGGCAGCCACAGCTTCTCTGGGCAACATGTTCCAATTAAAGCAGAAGAAAGCCTCATGAGTCAGTGGATAATGTATATATTTTTCTAATATTGTAAGTATCTTTGTTCTACTCTTTAAAGTGTGTCTGTGAAATCCTAAGGCTTATTAAATAAGTCTTAAATATCACAGGATGTGTGTGCATATGGGTATACCTAAAACTAAGCAGTCTTAGAATATTCCCAGTGTGGTCTCCTTGAATAAGCACTGTAAATGATCAAACTGCTAATCTACTAATCACACTTTTGTTTAAAGTGCTATGATATTTGAACACCTTCAGTCCCAGTTTTATTTACTTCCAGTATTTTCATACAGTATATGTTGCTGATTACTAATTTTAAGCATCTTAATACTTTTCTAAAAAGTTTAAATGCAGTGTAAGTTTTTAATTTCTCATTTCACTCCCCCTGGTGCCTTTACACCCAGAAGTATTCTTATAATGGTTGCCTCAAACCTTTTATCACCTTTTGCTTTTACATGTGAGCTATATCTAAAACTTCTCACATATTTTTGTACCTTTCACAAAATTGTATGCCATCAGCAGGATATGAAGCTTCTTAAACTATGAAAGTAAGTATGAATTTTCCCTAAACCAGTTATATCCTAGGAAAAAAAAAAAAGTCTTGCATACTTTCCTTGAAAGTGTTCCTTTGATTCCTGGAATAGTTTTTCATAGTTCATGTAGTTAGTTATTTTTTCCATTTTTTACTAATGTAGAAATTGATTATATAAAATGGAGTACTAATAGTTGATTTCTCTATCCACACTTCTATTTTTATTATCAAAGGCAAGTGGATTTTTTAACACTGATTTTAAAGTTATGCTTAAACTTACACTAAAATACTGTTTAAGCTGAAAAGTCATCTCTGAAAGCTGGGAAATACAAAATGAGCATGTCTGTACCACTTTCATTTTGTTGCCTTGAAAGTGAGTGTTAGAATGAATTTTTATACTTTTTAAGTACTACCTTTACTTTTTTTACTTAAAATTCAGGATCATATATTAATTGATGACAGACTGGAGAGTGTTTCCCTAGGTAGCTTTCAAAATTTTGTACTCTTCTCTTTAGGGAAACATACTTTCCCATACTCTGGATTTGTATAGAATTTTTTTTTTTTTTTGGGTGATTTAGTTGGAATGCTCTGCAGCTGGGAGTCTTTAGAGATAACTCTTTGCAAGACATAACATTGTTTATTCCTGTTCACGGATGGAAAGTCAAGTTGCAGAACGACTGAGTCTTATATGCTTGCTAATTGGAGAAGGTCATCAGGATATATAATGTCTGTTATTTGTAAGTAGTTGTACGAAGTCAGCATAGTCTAGACTAGCATTGTGAAATAATCAGTAAGTGTAAAGCAGGGATCTTAACTATTTAACTAATGAGAGATAGCAACCCATGAGTTAGGGACATTACCCAATTGTGAAAACCAAGTGTAGCCATATAAAATAGCAAAAGACATAGTAGGGGAAAGTGATAAATTCAGGAAGCAGCTAACACCTCCTATATAGAACAGGAGATTCTAAATGCAGATCTGCCCATATAGATAGCGTTGCTTTATAGGCAGTAGTTGTACTTTTGTAAGAGAGTAAACTGAAGAAAGTTTATGAAAAAGAAATTTCTTCCTGACAGCAAGTAAGGAAAATTTATTGAGCAGCAGATACCTTCTAAATGTTTACCTGCACATTGTGCAGGTGGCAGAAGAGTCCATTGTATGAGGTGTAAAACAGCTATTGATGGTGGAAGAAATTTGAAGTATGTTATTGTAAGCAGATAGGTTTCTCTGATAAATAATTACTCACTGTGCTAGCAGTTCCAGTTGTCTGGAGCCTTTTAGCTTCTTAGCTTCTAGGCTTATAGAAATCTACATTTGTAGGCTTTCTTAATCATGGTGAAGTAGTCTTTTCCTTATCTGTTTTTGTTTATTCACACAAGATTTACTGTAGTTTGACTGATAGATTTGTAGTTAAGTGTGGACTTCATTATATTAAATAGCCTTCCCAGTTAGTCTTCTCATGTATATATGCGTACATGTGTATTAGTAGCAAGTAACTATTAAAAAATGGTTTCAGAAGCAACTTGTGAAAAGCAGATAGTACCCCCTTTTATTTCTAAGCAGAGCCATTATTTCATGGAAGCAAAACTTCATTTTTCACAAGTAAGAACTGTTAATTCCACAATTTATGCTACTGTTCATGCTTAGTGTGAAATAACCTGAAGCCTAAGGAATGAAATACCTCTAGCCCCTATGAAATATCAGTTTATTTGGGGGTGGCATGGGGAGGAGGCAGAGGCATTAACATGTGAATGAATAGTTCTAGAAGAAAATAAGGTTATTTTTCCAAAATATCTTCCTGACAGCAAGTAAATTTATTGAGCGCACATTATCTTACCTTTTAAATGTTTTCAACAGAGCATCTCAGTTCTTACTCTGATCTTTTGAGTGCCCTTGATGGAGCAAGTAGGCATTTGTCTATTACGAAGTATTTGCCATCTACAAGTTTACTTATTCTTACAGTGTCTGTTTTTTTTTTTTAATTTTTCAAATTTAAAAACCTTATTAGTGAACCCTTCTAAAATACTTTATTTCTTTGACAGGCAGGTATTTGCTGTATGGTTCAATTGCCTTTTGCAATAAGGTGTCTGTGTAGACATTAAAGAAGTTATGTATTGTTCTTGTTGAAGACTAAGAACTATTTAACTTTTATGGTCTGATTTTTATAACATCTCTCAATAACTCTGTAGGTCATTAATATTAATGTCTGGAAGTCTTTACACATGAATGAAGACTTGTACTTGCCCATCTGGAAAGCAGAACAAAAGAATGGCAGGCAGTTCTTGCTGCTTAACCTGCCTTAGTGCAGATTGTGTCTGAAATGCTGCTGTTTTACTAAGAACAGGCTGTTCCTATAGTACTTGTCTATAGCAACAAGGGGTGTATATTGTCAGATTTTATTTTTTCATTTGAGGTAATTTTTTGAAAGAAACAAAAGATCTGTTCAGCTGTGGATTATCTGACTTCTGAAACTGCTGCATTGTTTCAAAGAAGGCAGATGTTCAGTATTGTTAATGTTATCTAATTTCTTTTGTGCCTCTTTTTTTAGCTGAAGTTTGACTTCCAGTTTTAAAACTGGAAGTGTTAACTAGACATTTTTCTTGTTACAGAGGCTACCCTTGTTACAGGGTAACTCTTAGCCAGTGCGTGTATAAGTTATGTATTAGTACACTATGGAGAAAGGTGTTGATTTTAAAAGGTTATGGCTAGTGTGAAATGAGTACTACGTATTACATTCTCTACATGAGAATCTCCTTTGTGGTTTGGTACTGTCAGTTGCATGGTAAATGTACTCTGCATTGCTATCTAAAATAAGTTGTTCCATTTTATGGTCATGAGGGCCTGCCTTAGACACAACAGAATTATACTAGTTAGTGGGAGAGAAGTAGTTACTGTTGGGTTAGAAGATACAAAAATTGTTACCGATACTTGGGTAATATCAGTAGTAAAGGCTGTTGGTATAAGAACAAGTCTGTACATAATCTTGAGAAGCTGCAGCCATGGAAAACATTTGTGCATGGTGGTCAAGTGCTGTTACAGAAGAGTGGAGTCAGGTCACTATTTCAGTAATAAAGCATTTTGAGCATGTTAAGATTCTCCAGATTGGTGGGTTTTGTTGAGAATCTAGTCAAGTCAGTTTGAAATATTTTGAATTTCTGATTTGTTATGCGATGTATTATACACAGTTTTGTATTGACTGTGTATAAAAGTAACATAGTTCGTGTTTTTTTCCCTTGTTTTCTGTGTTGAAGAAGGTATCTCGTGTTTAAGATAGTGGTAGGTGATTTTATTTATTTATTTAATTTTTAAATCTTTCACTGTGAACCACTAAAAATGCTACTTGTGTGTGGGAGAAGCCAGTGGGATTTCAGATTGCTATTGAGATCATCTCTAGCTCATCCCCTGCCTTCCACTTCAGCCTGTGAAAAAAAATGCAGCACAGCATAGTTTCATTGCAGTGTGTCAGCATCTGTTCTGATCTAACTCTTCCCAAGATAAAATTATCATCACTGTATTATGATTTTTTAATTATTTTTTCAGTTGATAGGTTGTAATTTATTTACTGGATTGATTTTTACAATATCATGCGGAAGCACATTAACAGCAATTCTGCTTGATTGTAGTGCTAGAAGTAAGTTGTAGCTAGATTAATGTGACAACTGATCATTTTTGTTCATGGGTCTTATAGAAACAATGTAAAATAACTTATGTCATTTTACATTTTTTGAAATATTTTGGGATTGGCATCTTGCACTTGTTGCTGTTGTAGGATTAAAATTAGGAAAGTTACCAGTGTTTGAAGTGAGTTTGAAAAGAAGATTGTGATACTTGTGTGAACATTAATTACTTGAACGCTCCCAATATGTAATTAAATATACTTCAGTATATATTTCAGTATATTAAATATACTTCAGTAATAATTCAGTAGAATTTCAGATTTTAGAATATAATTTATTTTCTAAGTCAATTGCATTATGTGTCTAACAGTCAGTAATAATGAAAGTTGAAGACAAAATGCTGTTAGCAGAGTTAGCAAGTAACTCAGTTCAGGGTAATCTTAGTTTTCCATATGTAAATAATGTTTTATGAGTTCTTATTTGTGTGTCTGAGTTCTCTCACTACATAAGCTGTCCATATATGTTGTCAGTCAGTATAAATGCAGAGTGAATTTTTTTTTTTTT